ACTTATGCTCGGGCACTCCAAGACACCTCCCACTCACATGTCAACGACCTCATCAGCTGATCGCTTGCGTTGATGACAGTAGTAAACACACGCTCCTAAGGAACTCGTCTGCCCGCGAACAACCTACATCTGGCGGTCACACACACGGGGGCGCGAAGCAACGAGGGTGTGATGCTGACAGCGGTGCTGGAGGTGACGTCTCAGCTCAGCCGAGCCGCGATTTTCAGTGACGCCGGAACGTAGCCATCTTCATTTTCCATGATCTGATGTGATCATCCTCCATTTTCACACAAGTCAATCTCAAATAAGGATCTGCTTTTGGGGGCCTCCTCCTGCCGGTGAGGAATATCTATACAAATAAAACATTCATCCTTCGATCTGCAATTGCTTGTTCCTCATAACCGTTCGCCTTGGCTCCTCTCCCATTCGCTCTATATTCACCGCCAGTGAGTTGATGGCAGTACTTTTGGAAGTGGGAAGAGACAGGCTGAGTTTGGCCACTGGCACCCATGGACCTGGTTTACAGGAAAAAGAGGAGAAGACGAGAGTGGGTTGACTGGTTTAAAGTTCATGACCTAGCACGAGGAAGCTAGGCTTGTTGAGTCTTTATCTCATCACGGTACCGAGAGTGGGGTGCTGGAGAAACAGATCATAAGGTGGAGAGCGGATGTCTGTCTGACCTCTCCCTCAGTTTTTCTTCTGTGTCTCGCCAGAGGTCAGGTAAAGCCACACTGATTACTCGGTGGTTTTCTGGAAAGAGTATGGGAAGTTAAAGTTTCGATTATTTTGTTTGGTTGTAGTCTTTGTGATTCGTGTATATTTTGAGCTCAGGGGTAGAAACCGCCATTTGACTTTCTCAGAGAAGGAGAATGGCTGAGCAGAACTTCCCCCGTGGGCGTCCAAGACTAAAATCTTTGAGCCTCATCTTTCTCATGAAGAGCGGCCGGTGACGTGGAACTGCTGACTCTTCCGTTGGCAGCCCAGCGTGTAACCAGTGCGCCACCAGGGTTCCCATGATCACAGACTTCTGGATTTCTTTAACTTTTTCATTCTGCCTGGGCATGGAGTTTGTCAACGAGCATCTTTGGACAGGTATCTAGATGCCAGTGTTTTTTTGTTTTGTTTTGTTTTTTTAAATTGGGGGCTCAGGTTTTATTGTTGTTATTGTTTTTTAAATCATTTTATTGGGGGCTCATACAACTCTTATCACAATCCATCCATCCATCCATTGTGTCAAGCACATTTGTACATTTGTTGCCATCATCGTTCTCAAAGCATTTGCTTTCTGCTGGAGCCGTTAGTACTAGCTCCTCATTTCCCCCTCCCTCTTCAGCTTCCCTCCCTTACGAACCCTTGGTAATTTATAAATTATTATTTTGTCATATCTTACACTGTCTGACGTCTCCCTTCACCCAATTTTCTGTTGGCTGTCCCCCAGGGAGGGGGTTATATGTATATCCTTGTAATCGGTTCCCCCTTTCCAACCCACCCTCTCTTCACCCTCCTGGTATTGACCGGTCCTAAAGGGATCATCTGTCCTGGATTCCCTATGTTTCAAGTTCCTATCTGTACCAGTGTGCATCCTCTGGTCTAACCAGACTTGTAAGGTAGAATTGGGATCATGATAGTGGGGGGAGGAAGCATTTAGGAACTAGAGGAAAGTTGTATGTTTCATCGTTGCTACACTGATCCCTGACTGGCTTCACTCCTCCCCACGACCCTTCTGTAAGGGGATGTCCAGTTGCCTACAGATGGGCTTTGGGTCCCCAATCCGCACTCCCCCTCATTCACAATGATATGACTTTTTGTTCTTTGATGCCTGATACCTGATCCTTTCGACACCTCGTGATCACACAGGCTGGTGTGCTTCTTCCACATGTGCTTTCTTGCTTCTGAGCCAGATGGCTGCTTGTTTACCATCAAGCCTTTTAAGACTCCAGATGCTATATTTTTTAATAGCTGGGCATCATCAGCTTTCTTCACCACATTAGCTTATGCACCTGCTTTGTCTTCAGCAATCATGTTGGGAAGGTGAGCATCATGGAATGCCTAATAGAACAAAGTGTTCTTGCGTTGAGGGAGTACTTGAGTGGAGGCCCAATGTCCATCGGCTACCTCAATACTAAACCTATAAATATATGTATATAGATCTATTTCCCCATCATCAATTTACATATGTACATGCCTTTATTTAGACCTCTATAAATGCCCTTTGCCTCCTAGTTCTTTCTTCTATTTCCTTTTACTTTACTCTTGTCCCACTATCATGCTTAGCCTTCATTTGCGTTTCAGTAATTCCTCTGGTTTACATTGCCCTTGACCAGTTCCTACCAGGCCTCTTACACCCTCCTTGCCACTGATTTTGGATCACTTGTTGTTCCCTTGTTCCTGGGTTGGTTAGCACTATTTCCTTTCCCCCACCTCCCCCATGTCTACCCCCCCCCCCCGACTCCCGGAACCATGGTCCTGTTGTTTTCTCCTTCAGATTGTTTATCTCTGCCTATCTTATCGAGATAGACCTGCAGGGATAATATACACACAAAAAAACAAGACAGAGCAAAACAAAACCACAAAAGAAAACAAAATGACAATAACAACAAATGACCAAAAAAAGAGAAAAGCCTGTGAATAGTTCAAGGTTTGTTGACCTTTAGGAGTGTTTTCCGGTGGCGTCTGCTCCCCTTGCTGCTCTGTTGCACGCCCTTAGTGTTTTGCCTCAGTGTGGTGGGGTCAGATCCGGCGCAATTCCCACACTGTGTCTCCAGTGTTGTCCCCCGTAGGGCTATGGGTCAGTGAGGGATGTCATGTCTCATAGTGGGACTGGCCATATGGTCCTCTGTGTGCAGTGGCCACTCTGAGCAGGGATATCGTCCTCCAGGCCTGGTGGGCCAGGATGTGCTCCACTCTCTCTTCCGCCCCGTTCATTTGTTCCCGTGTGCTCTGATCAGACGCCAGTGTTTTTTGAAGGCTGTTTTCCTCGAAGTGGAAGTGATGTTCCGGACTGAAGATTGTGCACATTTTCCATCGTGATGGGACCTGCCAAATTCCCTTCTCAGAAGGCTCTGCAATTTACACCTCCGACAGTGGCTGTGGCCAGCTCCCGGTCTTTGCCGGCACGAGATAGCGTCAGTCTTTTCCACGTCTGCCGGTCTGATGAATAGACGTGGCCGTCTTCTTTCCCCTGCCGCTTCTGGCAGGTTCCTGAGACTGGGAACTTCCTGGGTGCTTGTTTCGTTTTGCGTGTGTTGCCTGTTCCCTTCCGACGCCCGTGTCTCTGTGGGGCACCCGTCCTTTCTTTCCTTACTTGATGACAGCCCTTCATGCATTTGTTTAACAAATCACACTCTTCTAGATACTTGGATACAACGGTGGATGTGAGGTAGCCCCTGGTGGGGTGGCCAGGACGTCGGGAACTAGGGGAGAGGAGACCAATAAGAAACACACAAGTCAAGACAGCCTTGTCTGATGGTGACAAACTTTGAAAATTACAGAAGCCGAATAGATGGTTGGGGTGGGGGGGAGGTCATTCGATGGTTAAAGAAACGCGTTCCTGATTCTGATGTGTACCCCATACCAGGGGGCTCCACGCAGTTCATGGGAGAATAGCATCAAGAGAGCATGGACCTCATCTGCAAACTCTTTAAGGCCCCACAAGGTCAGCGGTTCAAACCCACCAGGTACTTTGCAGGAGACAGATGAGGCGTTCTGCTCCCATGAAGACTTACAGCCTCAGAAATCCACAAATCAAAACCAAACTCCCTACCACAGAGTCCATGCTGACTCATAGAAACCTTACAGGACAGGACGTCCTGCGAGTTCCCGAGACTAACTGTTTACTGGAGCAGAAAGTCCCCTCTCTCTCCCGAGGAGCAGCGGGTGGTTTCAAACTGCTGATCCTGCCGTTAGCAGCTCAGCCAGCAACCACTACACCCCATACAGGGTCGCTGCGGATCAGAATGGCCTGGGTGGTGGTGGATTTGGGTTTGCAGGTGGTTTTGTTTGTAGGTTTTGCATCTTTCCGCCGGTGAGCCCCACTATGAATTTGGGTTGGCACAGTCTTTTTATTACCTTTATGAAGTCAAAAGTAGAGTCCCTGTGATTTTAATGTTTGCAAAGGTTTCCTCTACTGCCTTGGGACTTCTTAGTCCACCGAGGCTGCCAGTCCATCTAGAATTAGAGAGAGGGAGAGAGACCCGGCTGACTGGCTAGCCAGTTGTTTCAGGCTCAGTAGCATCTTTCCCCGCCAGCTGTGCAGTGGCATGTGTAGAATCTCTGGATGCGCGGGTGCATTTGGTCCTTTTTGCACTCTTTCTGGGCCCCCTGGGCCCATCCAGCATTTCGATCACGGTGGCTCTGTATTTTCTTTTGGCTTCTGGATCGCCTGGCCATTTGGACAAATTCCTAACCCCTTGGAACCTCGGTTTCCTCCTCTGTTGACAACAACAACAAAACAAAACACAAACACAGCCACCTTGCAGTGCCCTGCTCAGAAGGAATGGCTGAGTAGACTGCTTCAGTTCGGAGGGTCCCGTAGAATCTGAACTGAAATCTAATGGGCAAGGAAGAGCCTGCTTGGTGGAAGGAACAGCACAAACAAAGGCCCTGTGGCAGGCAGCGGCCGAGTGTGCCGCCCGGTCAGAGGAGGGCCTCGCTGCTCCGGAGCAGATGGAGCATGGGTGGGCAGGAATGATGCTGAATTTGATGGTCACCATCAGGGTCTCTCGGGGAGCCCTAGTGGTGCATGCAATGCACATTGGGCTGCCGACCTCCAGGTCAACCGTTCGAAACCACCAGCGGCTCTGCAGGGGAAAGACGAGGTTTTGGACTCCCATAAAGAGTGAGTCTCGGCACCCCACGGAGGCAGGGCTGCCCGGCCCTCCAGGGTCCCTGTGAGTTGGGATGAATGAACTGGCTGGCAGTGAGGTTTTGAGTTCGTAAGGGCTAGGGAGGGAAGGGCGTGGGGTGAGGGCGCCCCGCTGACCCTGCCCCTGTCCTCGCAGTCCATGGAGTCGCAGATGGAGGAGTGGTACCGCGAGGTCGGGGAGCTGCAGGCGCAGACCGCCGCGCTGCCGCTGGAGCCCGCGAGCAAGGAGCTGGTGGGCGAGCGGCAGAGCGCGGTGGGCGAGCGCCTGGTGCGCCTGCTGGAGCCGCTGCAGGAGCGCCGCCGGCTGCTGCTGGCCTCCAAGGAGCTGCACCAAGTGGCGCATGACCTGGACGACGAACTAGTGAGCACGGGCACCCCGGGGGGCCGCCAGGGTGGGGACACGGGGGCCAGGGGGTTGAGAGAGTCCCCCCGGGGATCCGTTAGGCACCTTGTCTTAACCTCTCTTCCATCCTTTTCACTCCTTGACTCAGCTCGCCCTTGAGTCGTTCAGCCGCTCATTTGCTACGCCTGTGCCCACTCCCCAGGAGCCCTAGTGGCTTAGTGGGCAGCACATGGAATTGCTTACCTTAAGGTCGGCGGTTCGAACCCAGGAGTCTCCCCGCGGGAGAAAGACGAGGCTGCCTCGTCCCATACAAATGTATAGTCTCAAGAAAATGGAAGAGTAAAGCCATTGCAAACGTTAAAAAAAAAAAAAGTATAGTCTCAGAAACCATGGGAGGTTCTACCCTGCCCTAGGGGGTTGTTTTCCATTGGAATAGACGCAATGGCAGTGAGTTTGGGCTGTGTGTGTGTGTGTGTGTGTGTGTGTGTGTGTGTGTGTGAAGATTCTGTTACCCACTCATTCCAGTCACCCACTTCCTGACTTGTCCCTCATTTTTGTCACCCTTGCACGCTCATTCTGGGCCCCAGGAATGACCTGGGCCGAGTGCACATCTGCCCATCCAGAGAGGGCTCAGAGCCCTGTGGAGGAAAGGCTAGTCCTCAGACAGAGAAGATGGGGTGGGGTCCATTACAGGGAGCGGTGGGTGGCCAGAGAGGGCTCCTGGAGGAGGGGGGTCATCGGGGCTGAAACCGGAAGGGAGAGGATGACCTGGCAGGTTGAGCTGCGTGTGTAGGGTCACCAAGGAAGCATGGCCCTGGGCTGGGTGCAGAGGGCACAGCAGAGCAGGTCCAGGGGGCCGTGGGCAGGCCCTGGGAGCTGGAGGACTTTTGTGCCAGGGACCAACAGGGTTCCTTGGGGGCACACTCCCCTGACCTGCACCCCACCCCCACCTGTGTCTTCTGCAGGCCTGGGTGCAGGAGCGGCTGCCACTGGCCATGCAGACGGAGAGGGGCAGTGGTTTGCAGGCGGTGCAGCAGCACATGAAGAAGAACCAGGTGAGCCAGGCCCCGGGGAGGGCGGGGCTGGGACACAGCAAGCTGTCCCTCAGAATGTGGCCCAGTAGTGGTCACTGAAGGGCTGGCGGGTCAGCAGCAGGTCCACCTCAGGTGCTGGCATGATGCTCTCCACTGGTGGGAGCGCTGGTTTCTGCCCACTTGGTCCACAGTAGAGATCACAGAGCGGAGCAGGAGGCTGAGCAAACTCCGAAGCAAAAACTCACTGCCCTCACTAGTCGATCATGACCCCATGAGACCGGTGACCACCCACAGTGACCTTTTATCAAAAAATATTATTAATCATTATACATGTATAATTTATTATTAATTGGGAGTTAGCACATATATCATTCCATAGGTCAGTCACATCAGCAGAATTGTACAATTGCTACTACAATCAGTTTTCAAGCATTCTGTTTCTTCCTTGATATTGCCTCCCTTTACCCCCTCCCCACCACTGTACCCCCTGCTCGCCAAAACCCTGATTCTTTAAAAAAAAAAAAACTTTTATTGGGGGCTCTTACATCTCTTATCACAATCCTCCAGTGTGTCGAGCACATTTGCACATATGCCGCCAGCATCATTTTCAAAGCATTCTCTTCCCACTTGAGCCCCTGATATCAGCTCCCCATTTCTTCCTCCCTCACAAACCCTTGATAAGTTATAGATTATTCTTTCCATATCTTACATCGTCCTCCGTCACCCCTCACCCACTTTCCCATGATTCCTCTCCCTGGGACGGGGTTCTAGGTTGCCCACAGTGACCGTATGAGACAGGGTAGACTGTCCCTGTGAGTTCTGAGAGAGTAGCTCTTTGCACTAACGCTTATTAGCCCAAAGAATCACCCCTACACCACCAGGGCTCACAAGTCGAAGTCGCAGAGAATTTCTCCCCAATGAGTTCAGGGCGAGGCCTAGGACTGACTCTCATTGGTTCATTTTGGTTCAAAGGCCCACCTCTGAGCCAATCAAGGTAGACGGGGATTTGAACGGTTCTGATTGGCTAGGCCCAAGCTAAGGGCTCACCCCTGAAGCCTCCTGGGGGAGTTTGCTATCATATAACTACCTAGGGCAGAGATAGAGCCCCAGGGCTCCTCACCTCCCCCCACCCCCCCAATGCAAGAAAAAGCAAAACGGAAGTGGCACAGTCAGGTAAGCATTGCACTGCTAACTGCACGGGCAGAAGTTCATATCCACCATTCAATCGATGGAAGGCTGTCAGCTCCTGTCAAGATTTACAGTGTCTGATAAGGTGGCTCTGAATCCTAACAGACTGGGGCAGTGGGTTTGGCTCCGGTGACTGAAACTAAGGACTAGGGGGACAAGGACAAGCAAAAGGAGCAAACAAAAAAACTCCAAGCACCTGTGGAAGAAAGAGAGGGGTGCCACTCCAAGGGTCTGGGCCCAGTGAGACCAACTGCACCCCTAAAATCTCAGCTTTGAACTCTAAGCAGGCAGAGGGCTTTCTAGAACAATCGTGGCCAAATTGCTTAGCAGAGGGTCTTTGGTCTGAGCAGCCCTTTTTCCAGAGTAAAATACATAAAAGAAGAAGAGGCATGAGACATGGCTAACCCCAAGGTCAGTGGTTCGAACCCACCAGTCTCTCAGAGGGAGAAACAGCTGGCAATCTATTCCTGTACGAAATGTACAGCCGTGGAAACGGTCAGGGGCCAGTTCTGCACTGTCCCACAGGGTGGCTGTGAGCCCCGTCAACTGGGGCCATGCGCCAAGTTCCAGATTTTCAGGGTCACATCTCTGATGGATTTCCACCCCCACAATAACCCGAGGGGAGAGAGATGATCCCTGTTTCATCAAATAAAATGCATCAATAAACCCACCTCGGGAGACTGGACCACGGAAGGGTGCTGGGGGTGAGGGCAGGGCGCCTCCGTTCTTGAAAGAGCCTGGAGTTTTTCTTCCGCCTCATCTTCTATCTTGGTGGAAGCGCCCTCGGTCGGCCGGCATTTCAGTCAAAGGGATCCAGGTCAACCATGCCTCATCCTTCAGATGCCCATGTGACGAGAAGGCCGGGGCCCAGGCGCCCAGTTAGATGTATTTGATCCCTGCCTGAGAGTCGACTGGTGATGGAGGAGTTCTGGAGGCACCAAAAGAAGCACCTGGCTCCTCACTGAGAGATCGGTGGTTTGAGCCCACCAGCAACCATTCTGCGGAAGAAAAGACCTGGAGATCACTCCCAGGGAGAGGAACATGGAGGGAACTCTGCAAAGCAACTCTACCTTGTTCCAAGGGGCCGCTCAGTGTTGGAAACCACTCCACAGCAGCCCTCCACCCGTACACATGTACACACACACACACACACACACACACACACACAACCTGCTACACACACATATGCACACAGTTGAGCCTCACTGGGTAGCAGACAGACAGCTAAGTGTTCGACCCGGTTTGTCTCCAAACAGACCCGCTAGCCAGGCATTAGCGGCAAGCCACTCAGCCTCAGCTTTAATGACTCCGGGTTCCTGGAATGAAACTGAGAAGTAAACGAACGGCTTCATTATGTCAAACCCATCCTTACCCAGCAAGGTAGCCAACCTGGGGGTGGGGGATGGGGAAATCCAAAAAACATGCGACTGCCACTGAGTCCATTCCAAGTCCATTCCAACTCAGAGCGACCATGTCCACCTTCAGGGCTCCCGGCAAGGTGGCAGGCCTTCCATAGGTACGGGCTGTCCTGGAAAAAGTACGGCCAGCATGCTCCTTGGAGAGCAGGACGGTGAGATTGTGTCACGTACCTTGGACATGTGGTCAGGAGGGATTCGTCCCTGGAGGAGGACATCATGATCCGTAGAGTGGCGGGGCAGTGAAAGAGAGAAGACCCTCGACCAGGTGGCTTGGCGCCGCGGGCGGCAACAACGGGCTCAAACAGAACAATGTGAGGACGGTGCAGAGACGGGTGGTATTTCTTCCTGTTGTCTGTAGGGTCGCTAGGAGCCAGAACCCGCCCAAGGACATTATAGATGAACGGGCAGTGTGGGAACAGAACAAGGGCAGACTGCGTGGTTCAACATCAAGAAGGGTGTGCGTCAGGGTTGGGTCCGTATTCGGTCTGTATGCGGAGCAATTCATCAGAGAAGCTGGGCTCTTTGAAGAAGAATGCATCAGGTTTAGCAGTAAGCTTAGTAACAACCTTGCTTGCTGCAAGGGAGGCGGACTTGAAGCCCCTGCTGAGGAAGAGCAGGGGCTGCAGCCTTGACAACTGCAAAGACAGCAAACGCCCTCACCACCAGCCCGTCCCGCTAAATGGCAGAAGTTGCCAAAGGTTGCAGTTGCCAACGACTTCGTCTTGCTGGAGTGCACATTCAATGCTCCTGGGAGCTGCAGCCCAGAAGTCACACGACACGTTGCATAGGTAACTCTGCTGCACAAGACCTCTCTAAAGTATTGAACAGCAAGGCGGTTACTCTGAGGCCTGAGGTGCACCTGCCCCCGAGACATGGTGTTGCACGTACGGCGCGGCAAGTCTGTAGGACTTGTCCCTGGGTGTCCATCCACCTGAGAGGGAGGCTGTCACAGAGTTGGCATTTTAACCAAATCAAACTCAGGAGCCCTCCTGGCGTGGTGCATTAAGTTCACCACCAGCAGCTCAGTGCCCAGACTGACTCGCCCCTCCAGGGGAGAGAGACGGGTCTTTTCAATCTCAGGAACACACACCCGGGGGAGTTGTGCTCCATGCTTGAGGGACCCACCCTATGGTTCAGAATGGACTGCATCGCTGGACGGAGTTGAGAAGGCAAAGCCATCAAGTTGATCCCGACGCATAGGGACCCTAGGGGGCACAGTAGAGTGGCCTCTGTGGGCTGCCGAGACTGTGAATCTTTACAGGAACAGAAACAATCCAGCTGGTGGGCTCAAAGGGCAGGACACAGTGTACCCAACCCCCCTAGGCCATCTGGGCGCCCTAGCTGCTCCACTGTCAGGCTGTCCACACGTGGTCCACACAAGATTTGTGTTCTCTGTTCAAATCCCACCACTCCTGACTCTAGTTCTTGGATGACCTCCCAGTCCCACTTGCAGGTTGGCTGGATGAGCGGTCTAGACCAGACGCCGCACCCTGGTGCCTGGCCCACGGCCTAAGGATGCTAGTTCTGATCTCGGGGTGCATGCTCATCGCGGGGGTGCGCGGGATCTTCCTGGGCCTCTGAGCCACGCTCCTCCCATCCCTTCACCCCCAGGGCCTGCGGCGGGAGATCCAGGCGCACGGGCCGCGCCTGGAGGAGGTGCTGGAGCGCGCCAGCGCGCTGGCGTCTCTGCGCAGCCCGGAGGCCCAGGCCGTGAGCAGCGGCCTGGAGCAGCTGCGGGGCGCCTGGGCCGGCCTGCGGGAGGCGGCCGAGCGGCGGCAGCAGGCGCTGGACGCCGCCTTCCAGGTGGAGCAATACTACTTCGACATGGCCGAGGTGGAGGCGTGGCTGGGCGAGCAGGAGCTGCTCCTGATGAGCGAGGACAAGGGCAAGGTGCGGCGCCCGCTGGCACCGGGGGGACCTTGGCGGGTGGGGGCGGGGAGCTCCCTCACCACGGGCGCCTGTGTCCCCAGGACGAACAGGGCACCCTGCAGCTGCTCAAGAAGCACCTGCAGCTGGAGCAGGGCGTGGAGAACTACGAGGAAAGCATCGCGCAGCTGTCGCGCCAGTGCCGGGCGCTGCTGGAGATGGGGCACCCTGACAGGTGGGCGGGCCGGCGGGGCGGGGCCAGACGGACTGTGGACGGGAGGGGGGCCCAGGGGTGTGCCTGCTTCATCGCAGGGGCGGGGACCGATGTCTCAGACTGAGGAGGGGCCCAAGTACAGGGGAGGGTCTTCTTCCTCCAGACTGGCTGGGAGGACAGTGAAGCCAGGACCCCCGGGATGAGGTTGGGGGGCTGGGGCAGCCCCGCCTGGGGTCCAGAGCAGGTGGGCCATGGGAGAGCTTTTCTGAGACTTGGACTAGCAATGAGATGTCTGAGAGAGGCACAGCACGGACTTGGATCCCGGAGCTAGGAGGTGGGGCCCAGGAAGAGGGGTGGGAAGGAGGAGAACGGGGACCACCATGCAGATCAGGGGAAGGGCTCTGTGGTGCAAACGGAAGCAGGATATGGAATGGGGAGGGCTGTGGAATGAGGGCCCTGCACATTGTGCTTGCAGCAAGGAGGTGTGAGCCTGGGAAAGCAGGGGCCATCCCAAAGGAATTCGGGGGTGGGGGGCACGACCCCACCTGGGAGGTGCCGAGGGGCTCCCTCTGAAGCGCCATCCTGCCCCCCTACCCTACCTTCCGCCCTTGCAGCGAGCAGATCAGCCGGCGGCAGTCTCAGGTGGACCGCCTGTACGTGGCTCTCAAGGAGCTGGGCGAGGAGCGGCGCGTGGGGCTGGAGCAGCAGTACTGGCTGTACCAGCTCAGCCGCCAGGTGGACGAGCTGGAGCACTGGATCGCCGAGAAGGAGGTGGTCGCGGGCTCCCCAGAGCTGGGCCAGGACTTCGAGCACGTCACGGTGAGCATTGGGCCCAAGAAGAGAGTCGGTGGTCACTGAATAGGCGACTCAAGCTCTCCCAGCCTCAGTTCCTCCGTTCCCGATACGAGGATAATAACTGCATTCACCTCGTGGTGAATGAGAAGTGTGAGAAGTGGTTTACAATACTGCCATGCCAGACACAGGGAACCCTGGTGGCCTAGTAGCTTACAAGTGGGACTGCCAACTGCAAGGTGAGCCGTTCAAAGCCACCAGACACTCCTTACTAGAGTAGAAAGCCCCCACTTTCTCCACAGCACAACCAAGAACACCCTGTGGAACCATTCTCTGTAACACACGGGGTCGCTGTGAGTCGGAATCAGTTCTACACCACAGATTTGGGTTGACTTTTTAAAGTGTGTAGGCCTGTTTTCAGCACGTGCAGTGTGGGTGGTGATAGCTGTTAGGCGACCCCACTTGCAACAGAGGAAACACCACTGCTATGCTTGAGCCCATTGTTGCAACCGCTGTGTCAGCCCATCTCCTCGAGGTGGTTCCTTTTCATTGCTGACCCCCAACCCACCATGAGGTCCTTCTCCAGTGACCCGGCCTTCCTACTATTACTATTATTATTATTATTCTGGGATTCCTACAGTGCTCCATACTATTTTTATTGTTTATATGACTTGGGGGGATAGGTACGAGTTTTTCCCCATCCAGTGGTTTCAATATATTTAAAAGAGTGTACAATCATCACCAAAATCTGATTTAGAACATTTTCCCATCCCGTACCCATGCTTGTGAACTCCCCATGACCACCGCCACTACCCCTACAAGATCCCAGTCATAACCCCAAGGAACTATCACTGTACCTGCTGTGTCCATTCATCCACCCATCCTGGACTTCATACAAAGAAAATCACACCCAACCACCCAACCCCCGCCCCACTACAAAATAAAACACAGATAAACATCAATCTATGATAAAGCAGAAGATAGCAGAAACCAGAACAAATTTAAGATGGGTTGTAAGGTAAAAGAACTGATAATATGTCAAATGTTAAGCTAAGGACACCTGCAGTCATCCATCTTCCAATGCGCTCTGTCTGAAGGCAAGGCTATTCACATCTCTGGTCACTAGCCCCAGGAGCCCAATAGAGGTTTAGTCCCAGTAGGGATTCTGCAGATGGATTTTGGGCTTTCACTGTCATTCTCTGCAAACTGAGTGCTTACAATTTAAACTCCAACACAATTTCCTCCTCTGATCTTGGAACCTACCATCCACAATCCTTGGATCACATGGGCCGGTCTTCTCCCTCTGTGTGGACCTAGCTCACGCCTCACTGCCTATTTTAAGACAAGCCTTTAAGACCTCGGGTTCTATTCCTGCTGATAACCAGTCACCATCCGATTTCATCACCACACCTTGCTATAGCACACATCTCTCCATGGATCACTTCACGGGGGCAAGCATTGAGCAGGACCATATTGTCAGAAATAACTGTTCCCAGATTAGGGCTCATGATGAAATGCAAGTTCAAAATCCATCCTTCCATCTAAAGTATGTGTGTGTATAGTTATCTGGTCCACCTTCAAGAAAGCATTATCAGCTTGTTGAGAAATAATTTAAATAATCTCTATGAGTGGTTCGCCAATTCTAGCAATAGTATCATTAATCTATCCAATGGTCTAGAAGCAAAAGTACTATTGAGAAAGTACTTCAAAAAAGTACCTACAGGAACGATTTTTAGACTAACACATACGGCCGGGATCGTTGTCACTTCCACAGGTTAAGAACTTTAACTGAACACTGCTTAAGAATGTAACGAGGGTTAGACACAAGGCAAAGATTACACTCATGGTCATTCCCTAAGACAAAATGATGTCTGCAGGTCTAAGGTGTGTCACAAAAGGCCAGGGAAGTATGAATTCGCAAGTATAGCCAAGTCTTCGATCGCTGATTGCTGGGCAACCTCAAAAGCAAGAGATCTGAAGCAAAGTCTTAACTATTGTGATAATCACTCTTACATGCCACAAGATGATGGGTTGAGGGGCCGAGGTGTGTGTGGCACCATTGGCACCTCTGTCCCCTGGGGGCCTCCTGCTCTGGTGACAGGTGCTGCAGGAGAAATTCTCAGAGTTCGCCAGCGAGACAGGCACGGCCGGGCGGGAACGGCTGGCAGCGGTGAACCAGATGGTGGACGAGCTGATCGAGTGCGGCCACACGGCAGCAGCCACCATGGCCGAGTGGAAGGACGGACTGAATGAGTCCTGGGCCGAGCTGCTGGAGCTCATGGGCACCAGGGCCCAGTTGCTGGCCGCCTCCCGAGAGCTGCACAAGTTCTTCAGCGACGCCCGGGAGCTTCAGGGACAGATCGAGGAGAAACGGAGGCGACTGCCTCGTCTGACAGCCCCTCCGGAGCCCAAGCCCAGCGCCAGCTCGGTGCAGCGGACCCTGCGCGCCTTTGAGCACGACCTCCAGCTCCTCGTGTCCCAGGTGGGGTGGGGCAGACCTGAAAGGCAGGTGGGATGGCCTGGAGTCAATGGCCAGGGCCTGGGGACAGCTGAGGGGGCCCAAACCAGGCTGTAGAGCAGAGGGGAATTTGGTTATGGTACAGATTAAAAGTCAAAACCAACCAGGAAGCTGGAAGGCATTGGGATGATGGCAAAGCAAATACTTGTCTAGTGCTGAGAATCTGGGCAGTGGGCAACAACATAAGTAGTAGGTCTGATAGAAATCAGGAGTGGGCAAAAACTTGAATGGTAGGTCTGGTAGAAATTAGGCAGTGGGCAAACCGTGAAGCTGTAGGTCTGATTGAAATTAGCACAAACCCAAACCAAACTCACTGCCTGAGTTGATGGCGATATAGAGCGACTCCTTAGGCCAGCGTAGAGTAACCCCATGAGCTGAGATGATGATTCTTTACGGGACTGGAAAGCCCATCTTTCTCCCAGGCAATGGCTGGTGGTTTTAACCTGCTGACCCTGTGGATTGCAGCTCAAAGCGCAAGCGCCACACCACCAGGACTTAGTGGACAAAACATGTGAGCAGTAGGTCTAACAGAAAGTAGGCAGTTAAACAAAAACTGGAGCAGTCGGTCTGAAAGAAATCGAGCAGTGGGCCAACACTCGAGGGGCTGCTGTGATAGGAACAGGGACTTTGAATTGGCTCATTTGGGTGGGATCCCCAGTTGGAAGCCCTGAATAGAAATTAGGCCGCGTTTTGAATGGAGCATGGAGGACGGGTCTCCTGGCCACGAAGAGTGAGGCTCTTGGACACCCAGGGGCAGGCTCTGAAAAGGACTCGGGGGGGGGGGGGGAGCGGGGGGGGGGGGGGGGGGGGGGGGGGGGGGGGGGGGGGGGGGGGGGGGGGGGGGGGCGGGGGGAAGGTGGCCGTGGGGCAGAAAGAAGACAATGGTCACTGATAAAGGTCACATGGTTTCCCCAGAAGAAATGGTGGCTGCCGTGGAAATGTCCACAGAGAAACCAGGCAGTGGAAGGAATGAGCGGGTGGTGGAGGGCGGGTCTGCAGAGACCAATGGAGATGACGCCGTGCGTGGGTCTAACAGAATGAGTGCCCGCCAAAGACTGCAGGGAAATGGGGCTGCAGCTGTAGCAGAAGGGAAGGAGCCCTGGTGGCCTGGTGGGTTACGCATTGGGCTACTAACCATGAGATCAGCTGCTCAAAGCTACTCACCACTCTGCGGGAGCAAAATGAGGCTCTCTGCTCCCATAAAGACGGAGAGTCTTGGAAACCCACAGGGGCATCGCTGCCTGTCCTACAGGGTTGCTGCGAGTCAGAATTGACTTGCTGGCAGTGACTTTGAGTTATAATACTGGGGGGGAAGGGAGGCGGGGCTTCTAAAAGTTCATGGATGAAATGGAATTGGAAGATAATGGAGTTGTTCCATGAACTTTTTGAAGTGCCCTCGTCGAAGCTAGAACCAGACTCTTTTCCTCTGGATCGTTCCTACAAGCTGATGGTTAGCAACTGGGTTGAGAAGCTGACAGCGATGAAGTGGTGGGTCGGGTTGGAGGGAGTGTCAACTCTGAAAGAAATCAAGCGACCGAACCAACCATGGAACAGGAGCTGTGGGTCTGCTAGAACGTGCAGGGAGGACTCCATGGAACCAGACAGGCAAGGTGCCGGAATGGCGTGGCTTGCCTGAAGGCCATTAGGTAGCAGGTAGGGAGGCTGAAACAAACTGGGGTAAGAAAGAAGGAGGGACATGGGGTAGGAGGTCTCACAGAGCTCAGATGAGGAGAAGATTTAGGAAAGAAGTGAGAAGGTGAGTAGTGTGAACTCAAGGCTAGGTGCCTGGGGGGTGGGGGGATAAATCATAGGTGCAATAGAAATAAGGCCCCAATTCACTGAAGAAACCAGGCTGGAGACTAAAAGAAACGTGGTATTTAGACTCTAAGGAATCAGGAAGTAGACAAGTCTAAGAAAAGCCAGCCGGCAGACATGGAAGAGAGCTGCTGCCTTTTCTAAGAAGTCATTTGAAAAGCGCTGGTAAAAGAACGCAGAAGAATCCGAGCGCAATCAGGCTATCAGTTATGGGATCCCTGGAGCCCAGATTCCTTACCTCTTGTGGCTCTGGAGCTAACCAGCGAGAGTGGGGGTGGGGGACAGAGCCCGGGCCCCACGGAGGGCCCGTGGCGGACCCTGCATGCCCCTCAGGTCCGGCAGCTGCAGGAGGGGGCGGCCCAGCTGCGGACGGTGTACGCAGGCGAGCATGCGGAGGCCATCGCCAGCCGGGAGCAGGAAGTGCTGCAGGGCTGGAAGGAGCTGCTGGCAGCCTGCGAGGACGCCCGCCTGCACGTCAGCTCCACGGCCGATGCCCTGCGCTTCCACAGCCAGGCCCGGGACCTGCTCTCCTGGATGAACGGCATCGCCAGCCAGATCGGGGCAGCAGACAAGCCCAGGTACTCCTCACCCTGCTTGGGCTGCCTACCTGCCTCGGGGCAGCCTCCGCAAGCCCTGGCTCTAAGAAAGTGTATGGCAGCCAGTCCCAAGCTGACCACTCCGTGGGCAGCCCTGCCAGGGGCCACTTGGTATGCTTTTCAGGCTCTCTGGGCCTCGGTTTGCCCAGCACATGCCAGGCAGTCTTTGAGATGCTTTGTGTATTAAAACCTCTTACGTGGGTCACCAGGGGCTCACAGGAGGGACTATTCTCCAGCCCTCTGTCCTTCCTGGTTGCCTGAGTCCTGGTGGCTCAGTGGCTGAAGCACTCAGCCGCTAATGGGAAGGTCAGGGGTTGCAATCCACCAGGCCCTGTGCAGGAGAGAGATGAGGCAATCTCGCCTGCTTCGGAAAGATTGCCGCCTTGGGGACTCTCTGGGCCATCCTCTCCTGTCCTGTTGGGTCACTCTGAGTTAGAATCAACTTGAGGACAGCAAGCTTCCCCTGTCCTGGGCCTGGGCCATCCTCACAATTATTGTGCTGGGAGCCCATTTTTGCAGCCGCTGTGTTAGCCCATCTCGCTGAGGGTCTCCCTCTTTTTTGCCGCCCCTGTAACTTTACCAAGCACAAGGCCCTCCTCCAAGAACTGGTCTCTCCTGATGACACGTCCCACGTCTTGGGTTGTTGTAGCTCTGTTGAAAGTTAGGGGAACCCCATGTCGATGTCCCGGAAGGTGATCTAGAGGTGTGGCTTTAGCACTCTGGAAAGCTGGAGCCATTGAGCTACTGCAAGACCCCCTTGGGCCTTTGGCACCTGGTGAGAAAGGTGGGTGGGCCTCTGTGGCACGGACCCCCAGTCTCATCACGAGTTGTGTCTGTGGGGTGGGCCGAGGGACTCAGAGGCCACCGCCCGCTGCCCACCACAGGGATGTGTCATCGGTGGAGGTGCTCATGAACTACCACCAGGGACTGAAGACGGAGCTGGAGGCTCGGACGCCGGAGCTGACCGCCTGCCAGGAGCTGGGTCACTCTCTACTGTCCAATAAGGGAACCATGGCTGATGAGGTGGGGAGGGGTGCCCCGGAGCCTGCTTTGCTCCCCCTCAGGCTGGTTGGGGTGGGAGCCAGAGGCACACACCGCCCTGATGCCGCTGCTGCCCACCTGCCCCTCTCAGATCCAGGTGCAGCTGGACAAGCTGGTCGCCAAGAGGGAAGACGTGTCTGACAAATGGGACCGCCATTGGGAGTGGTTGCAGCAGAGTGAGTGTCCCCCCTTCCTGGACGCACGTGGCTTGAGGTACAGGGACACAGGCTGCCCCCTAGGGGCAGGGTCCGGAGGTGACACTGGGTTTCAAGTTCAAGGAAACCTGTTGGTGGAAAGTCACAAGAGCCTGAACAGGGTGGGGCACAGGGAGGCTGTCTTGCCGCTGAATGAGTGGCAGTCACCTTGGGGCTGAACCTGCACCCCAGGCATAGCCCCACCTGCAGAGCCCAGCAGGGTCAGCAGGATGAGGGGAGCTTAGAGTCACCTAGGCTCTGGCAGGTTAGCCCTGGTGGCATAGTGGGTTATACGTTGGGCTAACTTCGAAGTCGGGAGTTCAAAGCTAGGGAGAAAGACAAGACTGTCAACTCCTGTAAGGATTCTCATCTCCGAAACCCACTGTGGCGTTTCTGCCCTGGGCTGTAGGTTCCCTATGGATTGGAACTGGATGGATGGCAGTGCGTTTGGGGAGAGGGCTCAAGGAGGGAGCTGGCAGGATTGGGGTGGGGCGTGGAGACCCAGAGCAGAGAAAGCCACTACCTCAGGGCCCCCAGCCCCAGCGCCCTCGCCCGCCTGTCTCCCCTCAGTGCTGGAGGTGCACCAGTTCGCCCAGGAGGCGGTGGTGGCCGACGCCTGGCTGACGGCCCAGGAGCCGCTGCTGCAGAGCCGGGAGCTGGGCAGCAGCGTGGACGAAGTGGAGCAGCTCATCCGACGGCACGAAGCCTTCCGCAAGGCGGCCGCCGCCTGGGAGGAACGATTCAGTGCCCTGCGGCGCCTGACCACGGTCAGCGTCCTAGATTCTGCCCCGCCCCTCCCTCTCCCCATCTAAGGCAGACACAGCAGCCGGGGCAAAGCCTTGGGCTGGGGACAGACTGTGGCCAATGACGGTGCAGAAGGCATCCTGGCTGGGATGGGGGACTATGAGGTAACCTAAAGAGTGGGTCCCCCACCTGGGGTGTGGAGAGCGTCTGATGAGAGCCTTGGTGAGTGAAGGATGATTATAATTCTAAAGCAGTGCTTCTCAACCTTCCTAATGCCACGACCCTTTCATACAGTTCCTCGTGTTCGTTGCTACTTCATAACTGTAGTTTTGCTACTGTTAGGAATCAGGCGACCCCTGTGAAAGGGTCATTGGATCCCCCAAAGGGGTCGCGACCCACAGGTTGAGAACCGCTGATCTAAAGTGAGAGATCTCAGGACCGTGATAAGAAGTTAGTCCAGGGCAGACCCCTACCTGTAGGCCTATTGGGCTGGTGATGAGGCAGCCCGGCCTGGCCTGCCCGCCCACCTG